AATTCATTTTCAATCCATCTGAGCTGTTTTATAATGCAAAGTGTGAATGTATGATTCAAAAGACAAATAATTTCAATTCCAAAATACATGTCGTTTGAAATTCATATTTATACGAGTTGTTTTTTTTTTTTTTTTTTTTTTTTTTTTTTTTTTTTTTTTGCCTATAATTTTAAGGACACGTAAAAGTCATAGAAGACATAGATTATTTTTTCGGGGGAAGGCTATTTGATTCGAAGGGGGGGGGGTCAAAAATTGTCGAGACAAATCATGCCTTCACATGACAAAATATATTTATTTCTAGGATGACAAGAGCTATTTTCTTTTCTTTAGTTTATCTTCACTGAAAAATGTTTGACAATCAAAAATCAAAAACAGGGAGGGGTTGTCCAAACTAAAAAAAAATCTTTCTTTTTTTTATTTCCAAGATTGTAAAGACATCCCCCCCCCCCCACAGGCATGCACAGACCTAACAGAAATAAAATATTTGTCCCTTCAAATTTCTTTTAAAAACTGGACAGAAATTCTGATCTATATAAATTTCAAACTATTCCGAAAGTGAAATTATTTGTCTTTTGGGTCAATCAGTAACACCGTGATTCTAGCGTAGCTGAGGTGGATTGAAATGAATTTCAAACTAGAATTTCAATCCAGTGTTTTCTCAGACATCCGTCCTAAATTGTATCCGCCCATTTCATAGTCTATCATTAATCTTTTGACTGTAACAGATGAAAATAACGTAAGCTGCATATTTCCAATTTTGCTAGTTAATGTTCCGCGGTCTTATACACTGTATTGAAATGTTTCCATATTGATTTGTCAAATGTATCACTGTTTTAAAGTGGAATTCTAAAGAAAATTATTTTTCTTACATGTATGTATCCTATTCTCAGACGACCACGTTAACAGACTCGAATGTACATTATACTGGGATTCTTCTTTATAACTTCTATATATTTGAAAAGAAATTCCAATAGACCACTGTTTATAAATAAAATTGAATGCACATTATACGATTGTATATATTTCAGACATGTAGAAAGTTTATGTCCTTTTTATGTTTGCCATGTCTGCTTCAAATTTGGACGTCCTACTGACTATAGACTATTAAGACCAACTTACAACTAAATTGTCTGACAAGCGGGATGACTTCAGCTTTTTCCATCATCAACATTTCTTATTTATGTAGTAATATTCCGCTATCATTTGCATATGATGTTAATGTATACCAAATTATTCGACACCCAAGAACACGACTATTTTTTTTTAAATCGAGGCAGGCTACTGACAGATACATGTAAGTTGATGTTACAGGGGTTTCAACAACCTCGTTTAAAGTCAGCATTTCGTAAATTCAATGGTCGTATCAATGACCCTGTCAACAAATATAACCTGTAGTTGAGTCAATTGGTCTTTTTTTCTATACTAAATGTGACAACGGAATGTCCCCTGATTTATTCATAGGGCATACGGTGGGTGTGACGGGTCAACAGGGGATGCTTTTCTTGCTAGGCACCTGATCCTACCTCTGTAATTTTTAGGGGTCCATTTTATGCCCTGTTAACAGAATTGTATTGTTTTTGGATATTTTAATATCATCACTGTTCGTTATCTTCACCTTTTTTCCATTAGGAAATATATCCACCGTATGTCGTTCGCACGAGATATTATTTCATTTGCGATACATTCTACCTCATTTGCACAACTTTTTATGTCATTCAAAAAAATCTATAAATATTACATTGCATAACTTTCCGTATTCATTTCCGAAAACTTATCTCATTCATTTTTTTAATTCACTTTTTAAAAAAAAAAGTTGATCGTAATCAAAGCATGCTGAATACTTTGAGAGACGTTTACCAAAAACCAAAACATCCCGCTGCTTGTCTGTTATTTAGCTATGAATGTCTATAATCAGTCAAATATCCAAAAATGAAGCAAATGGAAGACAGACATAAAGGAAGATTACGTTAAGAGTTATAACCAATAGTAGCCATTTTGCGATTTTCAATATGTGCTGAGAACACAATAGGCTTAAAAGATAGAAATATGCATGTAAATGTAATGCTGTTGTATTACATTTTAATTGCATTTTCGTCAGTGTTGATCAAAAAGGGCATAACTTTAGAAGAATTAAACATTGAGGTTCAAACCTTTGGCATCAATCACCTGTTATGAATTGTGTATCACTTTGTTGGAAAGGGGGTCATTTTCCAAGGGGGTCAATATTTTATAGGACTCACATATAAAAATGACCCATAGGGCTCTTTTCTACAAAAAAATTATATTTTTCTACGGCTTGGGGGTCATTTTTTATCGTTGAAAAATGACCCCCCCCCGGTCATTATTCCATGAGGGTCATTATTCGTCTTTACACCGGCACAAAAAGTGAAAGTCACGGGTCTTTCGGATAAGACCTTAAAAGCCGAGGTCTCGTGTCATGGTAAGCGATGGTACGATAAAGAACCCTAACTGCTCAATGAGTGTCGAGTGTAGGTCTAAATTTGAAGCCCTTCACCGACATACGGAGACGTCTCTATATGAGTGAAAAATTCTCGAATAAACAATATACAATCAATCAATCTATAGTTGTACTGCTTGATTAAATGTACGGAGTTAAATTCTCCAACCATATTTTGTTATTTGTTCATATTTGTTCTTAATATTTCTTATCTGGACACGTCTTAAGGAATAGTGCCAAACATAGAAATATCATTTTTCATATTTTTTTAAAAATCTTTTTTACAGGCAAGGGTACATGTAAGTAATGCTTAATACAGTTATTCAAATATACAGGAAGAAGTATAGAATGATAGTAATAGGTATACAGCTTTCTCTTAAAAAAAGGTTATTCTTATTTTTCAAAAGTTTTTTTTTTCAATTACAATAAAATTAGATTTGTTCAGATTGATATGTTGACTTTAACGAGATGTGAGTTTATTTAAAATTGCATCACTTCATTCTGCAGTAACCATCGAAAATCTTGTTATTCTCTCCTGTACGTCACACTTGAAGAGATGTTCCATTAATATAACATTTAGTAAATGCAATTGTTTCTCAAGTGATATTCAATAGGGAGAACAAAAAAGTTAAAACCTAGTTTTCCTGCACTGCCTACTTCTGTAGACGTTGCGTATGTAAACTAAAGAAGGTGGGCGACCTTTGAAAAGATACTTCATCTCATGTCCGTAGTCTCTGTGAAATTCGACTTAGGATTGAGCAGGAAAGATAAATGAAGATCTTCCTACACAAGATCTTTTAAAAGAAAATAAACGAAGCGAACATCTGCTCTGTTTCCTATCATATGTCAGTCTAAGCCAGTCTGCAAAAAAACTCAGTAGGAGCTTGTATCAAATTAGGATTCTAAATTTGGTTGCACCATCAAGATAGTCCTTAAATTTGTATTCATCTACATTCATTTATTTCTCTATCACAGACACTTGTCTGGGTTATGAGTTTTACATTCAATGACTGAGAGTACCGTGTATAAATCATGATACTAGAATAATTTGTCCCACATAAAACTGTAGTCCACAGGTGGTATTTGCAATACAAATATTTTAATCCCTTTTGGAAATGTAAGAATGTAATGATATTTTCCAATACTTCATAACCCTTCATTTCCAACTATTTTCCTTTAGTACACTTTAGATGGTATACTATCTGTGGTATTACAGATAGTTACGTTGTTACTTATTGTGTCCATAAACGAATTTAAATTCTTTAAACATTTACGTCAACGTCAAGCAGGGAAAAGAAAAAAAGAAATACATGCATATCTATAGACAGTCGTGAAAAAAGATTACAGCAGTATATATAAATGAGGCGAAAGAAATGCCTTGTGTATTGAGAACTCTCAGAGATCTAACTGATTGCGAGATCAATCAGAGAAATTTGTTGCTGTGCATAAAAAGCAATTGTTTCTTTCTCAATACTGGAGTAATTTTGATCAGAAAAAAACTTTTGACATATTGAAATGAAATAAATACAATGTAACTTCATTTCAATAGAACAAAACAAAAATATTTCAGAAGTTGCTTTGTTTTAAATCATGATTGTTTTTGTTCACATGGTTGACAGAGAAACAAGTTTCGTTTAAAGAGATTAATTGATGTTACAAATGATAAGGACAGTACAAAATTTCAAAAGAATATTTCTATATTGCATGCGTTTGGTGTTGCGCTTGTGTCATAAAGGGATTGCATTGGACTGATATCTTTGATTATTATGCCCAAACTCACGTCAGAGTGACTTGGGGTTTTATTGAATAAAGGATACTCAGGCAGATTAAAAGGGGCGTGCATGGATATTTTTACAAATTTTTATTTCATTTTTCTTCATAACGAAGTCGATACAATTAACAATGATGTTTAAAAAACATGTTCGATAAATGCGCATATTGCATATTGGTTTACGCACTTAATAACCATTACTGTATATTTTTTATATAAATTATTTTACTGTATTTGTTAGAAAATATTGAAATGAATACCTCGTCATTAACAAAAGAAAAAACGCTTTGTCCAACAAAGGCCAAACAAAACCCTTCGATTCTTGATCTTCATCCAGTATTTTTAAATCAGATGATGAGAGAAAGGGAGAACATTCAATGTCCGGTTTATATTACATGGAGAAGCACAAGCTTCCGGGGACTTCTTTACCTGACCCCATGATAATGCAAGTGGATTTTTCTCCTGAAAATATAAAAGAATCACAATGTTAAAAGATACAAGACCCAAGAGCTTCCAGGGCTTTCGTCCTCCGGGCTTGGGGCCATATCTTTTATAGACCTCCTTCCCTTTTTGTGCATGTATTCCTACTAAAAATACTTTTATATGCCCTTGTACAACTCATGAACAGTTTTACATAATTTGTATCAAGTTACTTTGGGGGGTTGGGGGTGGGGTGTTTTCTAAAATACTACAGCCGTTATCTATACGATTCTGAATATACGAAACGTTAATTAAACGCCTCATGTTAAGTGCATATTAAAAATTTTTCAGATGCACATTTGATTACTTGGAAATATACTATGTAAACCAAAACGGCATGAAGGATCTCATCGACAGACATTGTGGCACGAATACTCCAAAAGACTTCATATCTCAGCATTCAAAAATGGAAATTTTGTTCGTTTCCGATTTTACGAAACATTCGAATGGATTTCTCGCACATTATACTTTCCTCGGGGACAGTAAGTACTTCAATGTAATAAAAGGTAATTATATTAGAACATTTTCAATAGTTCCTTTCTTATCTGGAAACAAAACATTTCTTTTTCCATTTTGACTAAAAATTTAGTTAGTTGAAAAGTAAATCCAGTTTTTAGCGTCAACGTATGATTCGATTTGTTAATATTTTTCCTGCATTCCACTATGAACTAGGTTACTATATCTAAAATTGTCAAGTAAATGTATTTCCAGCTTTGAAACAGTGCATTCGTTGCTTCGTGCGACATAGCAAGATATCGGAATCCCCTTCAGATGTATATATATATATATTCCAAACTTGTCAAAATTCAAACAAAAAACTTTTTAAAAAAACTATTGATTAATATATATATATATATATATATATATATATATATATATATATATATATATATATATATATACGAGGGGTGATCAAAAAGTTCGCGAACTAATTGAAGTACTTCCTTAAAAGAAATAATATGAGGTTTCAGTGTTCATTATTTTTTAAAGTAGTCTTCTCTGATTTTAATGCACATCTGCCATTGTTCTGCCCATGCGCGAATCACGTGATCCAGGCGGTCACGTGACATGCTTCATAGCGGTCTGTCCACAGAAGCTAAGAGATTTTTCCGCGTCTTATATTTCTTACCATGCAAGTAATTTTTTATAACAAGAACAGACAATCTACCAGAAATGGCCACATCTCGGCAATAGGATGGGTGGATAAGGATATCCCTTCCCAGAATTAACATGGTGACCATAACAACCCGAGTCTTCTGTTTTGGGAGCGTCGTTTCTCCAATGTGGAAAAAGTATGGGCGCCTTCTTCTTTTCATATCTCATGTTTAAAGTCTAAAGTAAACGATATTTTAGGGATTTAATAATTATATTATTGCTCAGATATTCATCTATTTTTCTTATTGTAACTTGGCGATCTTTCAAAACAAACTGCTCAACTAAGGACACATCTTTTACCGGCTTGCTTTCGCTGAGCAACAGAACAAACATTATTTTTAACCATCTCCCTGTCTTCACTAAAACATTCAATCCAATTAATGATTAAACTTCTGGTAAGTCTTTTGTCTTCATAAACCTTGTACAAATTAACATATTCAACTGCAAAGGAATTTCCGAGATATATGTTAAACTTTGCAGCCGTTCGTTACTCGAGTCCGACTGAGTCAACCATTTATTGTCACAAGTGATCTGCATACTGACGTCATTTTCACATTGTGACATCACAAACACGGAGCAAAATATTATTTAACATCTGCTATTTATAGAACATGTGTATGACTATGTGTATGCCAAATTCCATTCTGATCTGAATTGTGGTTTTTTAAATATAGAGATAGTTCGCGAACTTTTTGATCACCCCTCGTATATATATATATATATATATATATATATATATATATATATAGCAGTCCCACACGTGTGTAAACAAAACGCTAACATTGATTTGATCTTTAAACTCAGATAGAAATGCTATATTCTGAATGTAAATTAAAGATTTTCAATTTATAGTGAAAATATATAAAACTCAAAAGACATCGAAGAACAAGAAATTTTGATTATATGCAAAAATACTTATTTTATATTGAGAAGTTTTGCAGATTTAACAGCCTTATATAAAAATCATAGAATTTTCCATCGCAGACTGGCATCATTTTGGCCCCTCCACGATCGGTTGTGGACCAGAATTTTTAATGGGATCAGGAGGGATTATCTCCTCCCCTGATTATCCTGAGTTTGCCCCTTCCAGGTCCAGCTGTACCTGGATTATTATTGTCAAGGAAACGGAGAAAATTTTATTGACTCTTGTAGACCTTTCCAGTAGTAGTAGGTTAACATTTTTACATTTTATTTTATTTTTTATGAGCACAAATTACAATTTCTTATATAAGGAAAATTATAATATTTCTTTAACTTTACTGTGCTTTAAGATGGCCGATAATGATGATGATAAAAATAGTAAAATTGAAATACCTTATTATAGACCTTTTTGAATATGTTGATTTAATTCTTTCCACAGGTCAACAAACCAGAGACCCCTGCGAAAAAACACAGCTGGCGATTTACAACGGCTTTGCCGTTCCCGGGATGTTACCGGGGAGGGCATATTGTGGTCCGCTGTCTGGTGTCCACCAAAGAAAGCGAGAATACTGGTCCTCGGCCAGTAGAGTGGTCATAAGGTCAGTTTATAGTCCAGTGTTTGTGCTGCAATGATCATGCTTATTATCATCTCCTCTACTCAAACGTCCCTTGGGTTTGTGAGGGGAGTAGTGGATAAGAAACCCCTGGCTAACGAAGATGGGGTATGAAATATTAAGTTTAAGTATAAAATCACAAATTATCTTATTTTTATATACCGGTTACGAATATCGACATAGGTTCCATATATCTTTGAATGCTTCAGGAATTTTGCCAAAACAAAAAATCTTAATTTTGTAGCTCAAATATGCCGCTTGCGTATTGGGTCGTGTATCTGTATTTATAAACACATTGCAATGTTCTAGATTTTGAATTTACTTCCATCCAGTAAATTTATAATAAAGAAATAAAGAACATGACAGCATTTTTGAAATCTGTAATTTTCAAATTTTGAAATGTTTGACAAGATAATATTTATAGAAATTGACATTATCGTTATTGTTTTTTTAAATTTTTATTTTTATTTATTTATTTATTTATTTGCATTTTATTTATTAATAACAGGAAGAATATATACGGTTATTTTCTCTTTATTTATTGTTCATCAGATTTGAAACAGACGTTGGTGGTCTTAGGTTAGCATTTCGACTAACCTGGACAGCAGTGGAATTGGTAGAAAACGGTACGTTATCTTGGATCCAGCCAGTCGTAAATAAATGTCATTTAACTACTAATTTGACGGGCTAAGTGCAAGCACTAATTACATGTATATGTAAATAAATCAAAATATTGATCTTATCAATTAAGTCCTTTGTGTGTTAATTTCAGATAATTGTCCAAGATTCCTTTGTCAGGGGGAATCGTGCGACGAAGAGTCACCTGATTGTAAATATACAAAGTTAAAAGTCTGTATCGACAAGTCTTTAGAATGCAATGAGGTGCCAAATTGTGGATATTCAGACAGAAGTGATGAAGAAAAATGTGAGTTTCTGTCTAAATCTTCTTTCAATATCATTGGGTTCAGGAGAAGAAATATTTTTATATTAATTTTTTATAGTTTGTATTGCTTTAAAAGTTCAAAGGCAACTTTATTTATAATGTATTTTTTTTTTTACATTGTCCTGAAATTTACATTTATATTTGTATATGACATTACTTTCATTCTTAAAAGCAACTCTTTCAGAAACGTTCAAGTTGATTTTTTTTAAGAATTCATGATACCATGGTCTCTGTTTAACATTCAAATTGTGTTTCGTTTATTTTCTAGGTTTTAATAAAATACTTATGATAGTGATTTACGCGGCAGTGCCGTCTGTGATACTTATTTTAGCTATAATACTGACAGTCTACTGTTGTCGGCGTCACAAGAGAAAACAACTTCACGTAGTGAAATCGGCAGAAAATAACTCTTCCCAACAAACCCACTGGGTTTCACCCCATATCAGGAGCCTGGAAAACAGTCCAGTCACAAACAGATCTCCCCTCATGCATACCACATCGTTCGTGCCATCCAAACATTCCTCTAACCCAGCCTCTCCAAAACGAGACACCAAACGCGTGACTATTGTAGACACTTTTGATATGAAAGAGTTGAGGCACTCTCTGGAGAAACACAATGTTAACGGGGGTGCACAGTTTAACGAAAGCAATATGAAACACATAGTGACACCTTGCGGTGAAAATGATATGAATGAAGTAGTAACTCGTGTTCATGTTCCTATTGATGGCATTTTAAAGACATCTCCACAAAATTTTAGAACTCATCAAAAAAGACCTTCATATCATCTGATGCAAGAATTCAATATGGAAGGGACGGATGTTACAATGAAAATATAATGTTTGTAACTCTTAGTGATTTTAACTTTATTACATTTTTTACTTTTCTTGACGTGATGAAAGAATATGGACTTTAATTTGATTGCGAGAAGAATTTTTTTAATGCATTTTTGAGTTTTGCTTCTGTGTATCGTAGTACTATATTTTAAATAATTTTAAGCGAACAAAAGAATTTTTAATTGTATAAACATTTATAGAAATTTATATAATAAGCCATATTTTTGTTAAAAGGGTCATATGCTGTATACTTTCTGTTGCCAAGCAGGTTCAAACGATCTTCAAAAAGATTATAAGTATTTGAATTTAGTTTACAAGCTTTATTTTTTTGTTACATTTTTGTGTCGCCTGCAGAGCAGAGATACACATAGGGACCACTTTATCTGGATTCTGTCTGTCTGTCTGTCCGTCTTTCTGTCTGTCACATATATTATATATTGAGAATATTGAGAACTGTAACAGGAATTGATTTGATATTTTGGTTGTGTATTGTTTGGTACTAGGGCTTTTGTAAACTACCATGGTTATTGATCATATAACCTTTCAACTTGACATTTGACCTACTTTTCATATTAGTTCATAATAGTGCAAATGTTTGGACAGTTGGAGGGAAGTGTGAGCTATTTAGCATGTATACTGTTTGTCATAAGTTTTGAAAAATACCAGTGATTATCAACTTTAACCTACTCTTCTAAAATACTCCATACGGTAATTTATCTAATGTCTGATAATTCTGCAGGATTTCGATAACTAGCAAATATATTACATGTTTATGAGCTCATGACAATGTACTTTTAAACTACAGTGTATGTGAAATATAAGGTTACCACACAAACGGAACTTTAATACGTCGGGATCAGTATATCGAAATGACAAACTTCAAATAAAGTTGTAGACTGACAATTGCAGTTAAGATAGACTAAAATTTGTTTCTAGTAACGAATTTGAGGGATCATGTGAATAAAATACATCAATAATCATTTCTATTTATTATTCATTTTACTTTTGATGGTTAAAGAATCATATTTCTTTTTAATTGTTACACTTAATGATAAATGCTGTTCTTTCGCAGTCTTATTTTTTTTTCTTTGCATGCAACTGCATGGACTATAAAACTGGTTTGCAAATAAATAGCTGACCGCTCTTATATTTATTTACATCTTCTCTAGAAAAAATTTACTTTTTGGTTGGATTGGCTGTTTAGATTTTCATTTACTTCCTTTTAAAATTGAGAATGTTGTTTAAAAAGATTTCAAATGGTAGAAAACTAAATTTTTTTTGTAATTTCATACATATTATACTTTTTAAAATTAGATTATTTCTTTTATTTATTTATTTTTTTTTAATTGAGAGACAGGATTAGAATAAAATTTAATTCGTTGACTCTTTGCGGGGACACAATATTGTTCTCACAAATTTGAACTTCATTCAATCATGTCTTAACTGACCATGACATATGGTTGCTGTTCTGAAAATTTTGGTTTCGATAACGTGTAAATCCTGCATTTTACTGGATATCAAATATATGCAGGGACATTGAAGTTCTATAGTTGTCCCCCGCTTTCGAAAAAGCAAGGGAACATTAAATCTCATTCATCTGTCAGTCTGTCAGCATGTCAATCTGTCCGTCTGTCACAAAAAAATTTAATCTTGGTCATACCTTTTGAATGAGAAAAATCTAGGTCTTTTATATTTCATGTGCACATTACCTGTTACAAGAACCTTCTTAAAATTAATGTACTCTAACTTTTGACCTCATGGCCTTGAAGTTTGACCTACTTTTCCAAAAATTTTAACATGACTTTAACCTTGGTGATAACTTTTTAACGAGAAAAGATAGGATTTCCATATTTCACATGTAAAAAGACCTTTTCAAATTTACCTGTAACAAGACCTTTTTAAATTTATCTTGAATTTTGGCACTCTGACCTTAACCTTGAAGTTTTCAAAAATTTTAACACTGATTATGAATTTTGAATGAGAGAAGATTGGACATTCATAATTGACATGCGCATTACTTGTGACAAGACGTTTCAACAATCTATTGGACTTCCCATGGGTACCAATTGCGCCCCGTTCATATGAAGCAGAATTTGTCCAAAATCTTATACGTGAAAAGAAGAAAACACTTGCTGTGGCCTTCAACTCGACATTTAGATATATCGACGACGTATTGTCAATTAACAATGGCTATTTCCATTCCTATGTCTATACGATATATCCCGGTGAGCTTGAGATAAAAGATACCACAGAGTCTGACACAACTGTTTCATATTTGGATATTTTACTTGAAAAAGACGTTAATGGTAATCTAACAACCAAGCTTTATGATAAACGTGATGACCTTAACTTTTCAATCGTCAACTTCCCTTACTTATGCAGCAATATACCTTCATCACCTGCATACGGGGTATATGTCTCTCAGTTGATTAGATACGCAAGTGCATGCTGTACGTATGTACAATTTTTAAAACGAGGTAAATGATTGACAAACAAGTTGATGAAACAAGAATATCAGCTGTCTCGTTTAAAGTCATCATTTCGTAAGTTCTATGGTCGATACAATGACCTTGTCAGCAAATACAATTTATCACTGAGTCAAATGCTGACTGGCGTTTTTCATACTAATTGTTACACCATTATTTACACATCGAATTGTCGACGGATTTTTTCCGTTATTTCCCGATCATGACAAGGAGCACACGGCGGGTGTGACCGGTCGGCAGGGGATGCTCACTCCTCATTGGCACCTGATCCCACCTCTGATGTTTGGAGGTCCCTGTTTGCTCTGCTCCTATTTTGTATTGTTTAATGGACTTTTGAGCTTAATTACTGTTCGTTATCTCCATATCTTTCATTCAAAATGTTCTATTATTTTATTCCATGACCTTGTTCTTCACGTTTGACCTAATTTTCCAAATATTTAATATTACTGATAACTTCTGAATGAAGGAAGATAGGGAATTTATAATTGACATGACCTAATTTTCAAGAAATTTTATATTACTGATAACTTTTAAGTGAGAGAAGTCGCCTGTGTTGCGCAGTGGTTAGAGCGTTTGTTCTAGAGTCGCGGTGAAAGGAGTCGATCTTTTCGTCGCGGGTTTGAACTCATTGCGGGACGTGGAGACCGGTCCTTTGGTCCTTCTGTGCTGGCACGAAAAAAATCCCTCATTGCTCAATGGCCCTGATTGCCGAGTATAAGTCAAAATTTGCTGCCCTCCACCGGCAAGTGGTGACGTCTCCATATGAGTGAAAATATCTCGAGATGGACGTTAATCAACAAAAAAATGAATGAGAGAAGATAGGGAATCTATATTTGATATGTGCATTGCTTCCCAACCACTAAGACACTGAAAGAGGGGGGCCACAATTCTTTGAATTTGCTTGTTGATCAAGGCAACCATTTATCATGAAGATTTGAAGAAACACAAAAAGTTTTCAATAATGGAGCCAAATGAGTTAAATTCTTTATAATGGCATAAAAATACTGAAATACTTGGCTGAAGAATGCTTTCTCAATGCAAGACTGAAATATAATGAGCCCTATATCATGCTACCCATTTTTGAAATGTGTATTTTTTAGTGTTTTCAAAAACTATTAAAAGTGAAAGACACAATAAACCATAATATGAGAGAGGGTTTAGTATAAAGATGAAGAATTGTTCGATCGGCATTCAAAAAGATACTTCTGAGCTTATATAAAAAATTAAGGTTTTGTAATGAGACTTAAATGTTCAATTGCTGAAGCCAAGCAGAGGAGAAAAAAAACACTGGAAAGCATTTTATCAGAAAAAGAAATAATTGTAAATATAGAGATATTGTAGTAGTTTGTTTTATTTTATGCCTATTGGGAGCAATAAGGCTTACTGTAGAAATGAAGGAAATTCTTTGATATGCATGGTTGACTATTTTATTCTTGCTGCATATTTGATATGATTGTGATAATAAGGTATAGCCCCCTTTGATATACATACAGTAATGAAGTGAAATGATACAAGTAAAATATGACTTTCTGAAATAATGCAATTAACTGCTCTTTGAAAAGAACCATGATAAATGTGTTTATCGGTTTGTGTTCTGGAGGATAGATGATTAATTTAAATAGCATACTTATGTTAGGGACGAGAGAACAGAACGAAATATAAAAATGCAATAACCTAATATTTATACACGTTTTGTTATTCATTGTACAAAAAAGTGATTGATTGATTGTATGTTGTTTTACGTCCCACTCGAGAATTTTTCACTCATATAGAGACGTCACCATTACGGTGAAGGGCTTCAAATTTTGACCTTTACTCGGCACTCAGGGCCATTGAGCAGTGAGGGATCTTTATCGTGCCAACACCTGCCGTGACACGGGGCCTCGGTTTTTAAGGTCTCATCCGAAGGACCCACAACTTTCACTTTAAAGTGCCGAGCGCATGGCGAAGGAACAGTTGCTACCTATTTTTTATCGACTTAGGTTTGTCGCGGCTGAGATTCGAACTCACGACCTTCCGATCACGGAGCTAGCGCTCTACCAACTGAGCTACCGTGAACGGTACAAAAAAGTGTATTTACATTTAAAAAACATCTCTCTCTCTCTCTCTCTCTCTCTCTCTCCACTAAAAATCTAAAAGAATTTGAGCTACAAAACTCGCTATTTCCACTATTTCTTTAGTATTTCGTCTTAGAGATATAGTATGTTTTTGTTTGGTTTTTTTTTTTGTTTTTGTTTGTTTTTTTTTTTTGGGGGGGGGGGGGGGAGGGGGGCAAAGGTTTCCTTTGATTATTACTGTTTCATAACCTCAAAACTTCACTTTTATACATTCAGATCAATTAATGGTTTTTTATTGATATCCGTACTTTCTGATTAATGGTAAGGTGTTTAATACCCCAGCCATATTTTTTTTTATATTATTTCTTCTTTGGAGACGATTAAGGAAAAGGGTCAAACATAATGATATTTTTTTTTAATTTTTTATTTTTATTTTCTTTTACAGGCAGAGTAAGTGATGTTTGATCTAGTGAAGAATATCCGCTCATTAGCCAGGAACGATAACTCTTAAATTTATTATTTTATTTAAAAAGTCTCAAAATAAAGCTTGAATTTGAAGTCTTTTCATGAAACAATTTTATTTTCCTGCATCTCAATATAATTCAAGGTTCTCTGAGGTCTTATTAACGGTTTTGTAAAAATTGATATTTGTACCCCAATGAAGTTACAAAAGTGAATATATCTTTAAAGAAATCAAATATCCATTAATCTAGCCTTAGATACTAATGCTTATTAGCATGACATGAAACCGACAGTGATCTGTGATATCTTGTAATGATAACAAAAGCTTTTAACAGTATACCCTATATAACAATTGAACAAATGAAAAATTAAATAAAAGAACTACAAGCAAATTCAAAGAATTGTGGTCCCTCGCTCTCGGTGTCTTAGTTGATTGGAGATGCAATTATTTATGGCACATTGTACCTGTCTTTTGTGTGTTTCCTGTCTTGTCTGTGTATCATATAAAAAATACATAAATCATTGAATTAATAACAGTTATGGCATAGATTATAGCTCTTCTTTAAACTAGATCAAACTTCAAGATCAGGTCATGAGGTCAAATATTGATACATTCCGAAAGGTCTTGTAACAAGTAATGCACAAGTAAAAAATACATATATATAACCAGAATAAACAATCGGAAAGGTCTTGAAACAGATAATGCAGATATCAAATGTAAATACCATATCTTTTCTCAATCGAAAGTTATCAGCAATATTAAATTTTTTGAAAATTTGATCAAACTTCAAGGTCAAGGCCACGGGGTTAAAAATCATAGTACATTTGGAAATGCTTGTCACAGGTAATGCACGTGTCAAATATGAATGCCCTATCTTCGCTCCTTCAAAAGTTAGCAACACTCATTAAATGTTTGAAAATTAAGTCAAACTTCAAGGTCACAGGGTCAAATATCA